ACACACTCAATCCAATGTTTGATGTAGAGAACAAATAATGCCTCAAGTCTCATTTTCACCTACTGCTTCTACGAGCAGCCATCCACTTATGCTTCTGATAAAGATCCTAACCTTTTTTGGGGTTATTGTGATTTCCCTTGTTGATTTTCCAACTCCAAAACTTGCTTTAAATAGACAGAAAAAATGTAAACTTTTGCTGTGGATTTCAAGACGCCTACTCTGTGTGCCTGAAAGGCAGAGAATAAATCGACTAACTGGCTACCAAAGTTATTTTTTGCTAGGCAGGGTTTACCCTCAAACATCTACAGCTCGTACAGCTAATGTTGAAATAAATAGGAGGAATTCTCAATACAAACAAGCACGGTCTTTGTGTGGTGAATTAAAGTATTTCACTTAGCTAGTTCTACAACAGGAAGGTCAAACACCTCTTCTGGCCACACAATCAATTCTTTATATACATACGTCTGCATACTAGGCAGTAAAAAGGTAATAAAATTAACCTCTCTCGCATGCATGTGGTGAGGATTTCATCTTTACGTGAAGAAATGAATGAGTCGGCTTCACACCTGAATGACCACTCCGATATAAAAACCGCAACAATCATTTTATTCAGGTTGTACTTGTAACATTTACATATTGATTTGAACATTTGTGAGGAAATGCCAGGCAGGTAGCAATAAATAAGTCTGGCATGTGATCTGCTTTTCAGTGGAATCTGGGTAATCTTGTCATTAAATGAACAATAGTATAAAAATGTCTTCACTTAGTTTTACCTTAGGGGTGGGAATCTTCAGGCACATCACTATTGAGTTTGATGATTCAGAGGGCTGTGATGTAATCCTAAAACAAATGTAGATTGATTTGCAATTCAGAAGTTGCTGGTCTTTTATGAGCTGTTTTCTTGCCATCAGCAGTCTGGACACTTCCACCTTTTTAGAGTTTTGCATCTCCTAAGACATTATTAACATTAAACAATACCAACATCAGCTGCTAATTGCAGCTGTTTTCAGCTACTTTTTCTGCTAATTTGAACCATTTAATCATCTCATTTTTGTGATAATTTCAGCTTCATTGCTTCAATCAGCAAACATGCTTTTTCTGTTTCTTTGTACTAATTTCAGCTATTTCAGCTACTATATTTAGGATAGTTTCAGATTCATTATCTATTCAGGAAAAACTTTTCAGCATTAAGCATTTGCTTAAAATGTTCTAGTTACACTTTAAAATCAATTCAAAATTATTTACAAGATGCATCAAAACATAGATTATAACCCCCGCTCCTATGTAGGTGCAGTCCCTCAGTCATACATTGWATAATTTAGCATCATTTTCTGCACAATAATTCACTGTTTTGACTATAAACATATGAATGAAGCTCTAAGAAACACATTTTATGGGGGCTTTAGGAATTATTGTACAAATTCTATAAATGCTTGTATACTCTACCAAACCAAATAAATAAATAAATAAATAAATAAATAAAACATACTTAATTTGTAACAAATACTACATTTTTTTTAAAACAACCTACCGTCAGTTTCAGGGTTCAGCTAGTTCATATCATTTTTCCCTTTTTTTGTCACTAAAGGTTGACATGATTCAGATTGTGTAGTTTTTATTTTTATTTATTTTTTTTGCAGGACGTTGGAATGCAGATACATATTAGGGCAGAAATAAAGTATTTGATGCTAGAGGTGATAAAAATGAAGACATTCACACGTGCATCTGACAAAGAATGCAACTCTGAATTACATTCTATGGAATCTGTTTTTTTTTGTCAAAAGCTCGTGTTTTCTCTGAAGTCTAGATTCACAAAATGTTCTCCCCTGCAAGCCCACCCAAAGGCCCTGTGAAAACAACTCGATGAGAATGATAGTGCAGTTATGTTTGTGAAAGACCAGTGTGGATTATATCTGCAGGTTTAACCAGAGGAGAGAGTAAAGGACTTTTGAATTAAAGAAAGGATGTTTCTTTAAAAAGGACTGCAAAGTAGATACTCTTGTCTGAAAAGAACATATAGAGGCAAGAAAATATATTTGAACAAAACTAGCTAGATAAGTATTTTAATATGCATTCAAATTCCTCATCCTTTTATCAATTTAGTAAAATTATTGACACTTATTAGTTTTGCATTTCTCTAATATTGTCACAAAAGCAATTTATTTATTTATTTATTTATTTATTTATTTGCTTTACCTTAACATAAATAATCTGCTGTAACAGATCCACCCTAAGGGAACAAATGTCCATCACAAGTAGGCTTTTGCAGCCATATTAACTATATTTGATTTAGCCCTTTTCACTAATCTGAATTTTTTTTCTTGACTTGACTCAGACTAAATCTTTTCTTACACAAATTCACTTGGCAAAGGCCGAAAGTCCAGTTTTCTTTGTAACATGAACAACTACTTCATTGTGGAGGCAAAGTGGCTTTTAGAGACAAATACAGAGAGAATGGCTCTGGGAATAGTTCTCTTTCCCACACCACCTGAGCTCATTTTTGTTGTCTTTAGTGTTGAAGATATGAGCGTTTGATTTCTGGCCAGTCATCTCAGTCTTAGGAGGCATGGTTTGTGTTTACACCGCGGTATCTGTGATCCACCTAGACAGAGGAAGGAAATGGATATACTGTTGTCTTTGTATCTACCTCCAGCCTGTACAAGCAAACGTTCTGGGGGTTGTGGTTTTCCATGCTTCTAACTCTTCRTGCCAACCTAGAATAAAGACCAGTTTAATCATGTGGCAGGCAGTCTTTTTAATGCAGATCATTTTTTTAAAGCATAAATAGAATAAAAATCCATCTTTTTTTTTTATTAAAAACCAATTTTTGGACTTTCCCAGAGAATAAAATCCAGTAGCCCATGCAGAAACAAAAGCCATGTCAAAGCCTTAAAAATGCCCCCATCAGGTCTCAAATTGCATTTGGTCTGAATTGATTAACAAGCGACTATGTTATTCTAAATTAGGATGATGACTGAGATAGTCCATTATCTATTACTGTCACCCAGGAGACTGCCGTGACAAAAACTGTAAGAGAGATGGGGAAATTTCAGCTTGGTGATATTTTAATAATTTAATATTAAGATTGTCAAACAGAAATCCCACAGGATTGAGACTTTTTTTTTTTCTCCATAGTGAGACATCAGAAAAAGGCTTCAGTTCATGAATGCTGAATTTAAACAGRCATGATGCTTTTTTAACCCAGTTGTTGTCAGAGGCAGACAGTTTGACCTGTCAGAAGTCGTCACATATKTTACACGACAGTTCTGCAACATGAAGTGAAGACACACCAGCAAAGCTTATTTTGCCTTAAAACGTGATTAAATTTCTTGTTTGCTCCAATACCCTCTGGACATTTCAGTACAAATGTGTCTGAAATGTCCTATTTTCATTTAGTCTTTGATAATAACTTCAAAAAATATTGCGTTTTGATAGAAGCATTATGGCATGCCTCTAAACATTAACATTCTGCAACGTTTTCACTCTCAGTCTTCAAGTTTAAGTAGTAACAATTGCCCCAACACCTTTGTTTTTTTTCTTTTTTTAACAACTACTGTGCTTTAAAAGTAACAAAGAAAAGCCAAAAGCATTATTAATGTTTTTAAACACATTTAGACATAATACTAGTCACATTTTCTACCAGCTCCACATGATCACTTCATCCCAGCATTTAGGCTGAGATAAAGATTTCCACAATCATTTTGATTCCCTTTCAAATCCAAAGACTGAGGGACAAAAAGAGCAACAAAGGCCAGGGCTGTGAGCGTCTCTTCTTAGTCACAGATGTTTTCGACTGTCGCTCTGTGAAACATCAATGCCATCTTGTGCCGTGACGGTAGCTGGCTACCTGTCTCTCAATGGCAAGTCCTTGCCAGCCATTCCCACGAAGCTCCTGGGGAGAATTGAACTGAAGCTGACTAACTCATTTGTGTGAAGTGGTGACATGCTGGAGGCTCAGCTGGATTTTTTTTTTCTTCTGTCAAGTACTGGCTCACGATTCATTGGCATTTTGCAGGCAGTGCTTTCATTTCTATGCAGCTTGCAGCTGAAGATGAAAGCCTAACAGTAAACCGTGGCACACCTGAAAGGTTATCACATTTTCACTAATACTGATGAACAAGTACATGTGATGATTCGTTGATTAGCCTTTTTGACAGTTTTGATTTCAAATGCATGACTTTTCATTTAGTCGAACGAAGGAAAGACACCAGGTGTTTCTCTGTGCTCCCTGTGAATCCTGGCTGTGCAGCTCTTGCGTTGAGTAAACCTGAGTCTCAGGGAAGAAAAAAAAGCTGTATTCTTGGATTTAAGACCTCCTAAATCACCTGCCAAAAGAAGCAGGGATGGGGAAAACAAGGAGAGCATCTGGAAAGCCTGAGTCAAGTTGCTTTTTAAACATTCACTAAATAAATCTTTGTTTATGTTGTGTTACTTTGTATACTTACAGCTGAGCCTAATCTCCAACTAAGCAAAATGCAAAATGTTTTAAAGCTTTCCTCTGTTTTTGGATTTTTGTCTCTGACATGAATGTTTTAATTCAAGGTGCTTTTTTTAACAAAACACAATAAAGTTTGGAGCTTTAAATGTTTCAAGTGTCAAGCAGTTTGTACAGTGTGACAATGGAAATTGTTGGTTTATTTCTGCATGACCTGTCTCTTTTCTGAAGGTTTCAGCTGATAGTGTGCATAAATTCAAAGGAAATGAATGGGAAATGTATGAAAAAYGTTACTGGTTGGTAACACATCTTTCAGCGTTGGGAGTGAGATCAAATTCAAAACCTATGAGCACCTTGAGATGCTGCACTCCAGTGAGCAGAGGAAATTTCATTCCAAAGTTTCATTTAGGGGAGTTTGGCTGAACACGGTTGTTTCTTCTGAGCAGGCAGTGTGATATAACTTTAAGCATTGCCTTTTTTTTGGGCTTTGGCCCCCTGACACCATTCCCCCTAGCTGAAGTCAAACAGCTAATGTATATTTTGTTCTTTCTTTTCTCCACTGCAGCTGCAGTTCAGGTGCAAATCACTCCAACATATGGGGAAATCAGCGTAGGAGAGTCCAAGTTTTTCCTTTGTGAAGGTAAGCCAAGTCTCCAACAAACTTCATTCAACTCAGCTKGATGTAAATTTTACCTCCTACAATGTTATTAACTGCAGTAATTGAGGTCATTTGATAAAAGTGGTGCAAAGCAGGTAAAATGAAAAGAATTTTGCTTGCAAAAGAAAAGGATAAATGAATTTAGTGGAATATAATGTGGAGGTTCTGGGGGTGACATCACACACAAGACAGGGGGTTAGGTTGATAATGATATCAATAACACTTTGTTTAACATATTAAACAATTTATGACCAAGAATGTAGCTGTTTTTGTTTATGTAACAGCATATAAATAATAATGATTAGATGGCCAGACAGCCAGACATATTTTGATTGCTAAATTATACAAATAGCCTCAATTTAGTTTGTATCAGTTTAATGCAGTTCTATTAAACTAACATGATGTTATAGTTTGAGCAAAGTGACTGATTGAAAATAGAAAACCAGATGGCCTTGTCTAACATGCTGTTCATTTTTGCTGCTTGCCAAAAATATACAAAAATTTTACAGAAGCAAAGCTTTTATGGCATGTATAAGTGGAATATAAAGCTTTTTTACAAGGTAGTTTATGTGTTTTATGCCAAATGCTGTCATTATTTGTTTTTTTTTTTTCTCCAATAAAAAAGTCAAACTTGATTTGGGTAGAAGAGATGGCATTCTTGTTTTTAAGAAACCCAAAACTTTCAAATTTAATAGTTTATCACACAATAAAATTTTACTGAGCATATTTCCTC